TCTGTCTGGCTCTGGTCTTCCTCCCTTTTGTGGAGGGCTGTTACACTGGAGAGTGTCTTTCCACAGTGGCATATTCTTCTCTATCCATTTCTCACCCCTGGTAGGGGAGGGAATGGACTACAATTATATCCAAAACCTTGCCCACTCAGCTGTAACCCTAGACACTGTCTCCAGCTATGAGTAACTTCAGTCATCCATTTGAATATCCACCCTTTTCAGTGTACCAGAACTGCAAACGCTTTGAGAATCCCTTGTGTAGGTAACCCATGAGTCCTAGTTTGGGTCGAGGGGTTAGACCTACAACACACTTTTCTAATTTTTGTGGGAAAAATAGGGATGACATTTAGGACAGATCATACAATGATGGGGAAAAATAGTGTCTGCCAGACAGTATGAAAATGAATGAAATGTTTTAAGAGGCAAGAAAAGGTGGTCAGTTGTGAGGAGGTGCAAGTCCAGTAGCCAAGTTCACTTTCCCAGCAGGAAGCACATATTTGAGAAAAAGGAGCACCTGGCGTGCCCAATGCTCATTCAACTCTTCAGGAATTAGACAATCCTGCACATTCCTCAAAACAGAGTGCTGAAGAAACACTCTGGAAACAGAGCCTACTGTTTGCTGGTCTAGTTTTCTTTGTCTGATTACTATGTGGCAGGGGGGTTGAAGGACAGTGGAGTTTGTCTTGATGAAGACACCACCTCAGGAGAAAACTGTTCCTGTTCCATTAGTCTCTTTGTAAGGGTTTGACTTAGGAAAGGATTCTATGCTGTATTCTATCGCACACCTGGATTTAGGAATATTTCTGTCTTTCTCTGGGTAGCCAAATTCCTCACCTGTAATCAATAGGATGTTAGCCCTTAGGATCAATGCTTTCTCTAATGGCCTTTAGTCAATTTTTGTTCCATATCCTTTAATATGACGCCTACAAAAAGATGGGGCAGCTGTCAAATATGGAAACTGGTTTAGTCACTTCAGTCTCTCCAAAAACAATACATGCTCATGCTTCAAATCAGTATTGCAACTGTCCTGAAGACTAATGCAGCTTAGAAGAGCTAATGACAATCCTGTCAGCTCTGTGGGACCTCAGTAGCAGACAAGTGGACCCCGATCTTGGACCCCTGATGCACAACCCCTGATCCTCCCTGAAGCTTCAAGTCTGCTGGCTTCCATGCCAATGCAGGACAAAGGCTATTACTTGAATGAATTTATAACTTTCCAAGGGTAACTTTGAGACAGGGTGTACAAAGGCATTTATTCACTCAACAATTTACTAAGAACTTACATTCCAATTATAATCAGAAGGTGACTGAGGTGAAGACAGTCAGCAACGGTAGCTCCCAGAGCTAGACTGTATTTCTACTCATGGCTGAGGCTGCACTTACAAAGAGAGCTAACAAAAGGATCAACACGATTAAGAAAATGTTGTTCTAAAAATACATAAAGAGTGCTAAGATTAAATGCAAGTCTGTCTTTTTCGGGCAAAATTCCTCATCAGACAATGACAACCAAAGAATTAAAAAACAGCTGTTGTTTTCAGTGCCAGAGTACTACCTTGAGAAAGCACAAAGCACTACTGGAAAGGCTGAGGTCAAGGACTTCTATGCCGAGGCTGGACAAGCAGGCAGAATGGTACCTTAACCCGGAAACCAACCCAGAGGCTTTCCACAGGTAGTACTGGTAAGGAATCAGTAAGGGATGACTTTAGCAAATGACGTCATTTCACATACGGCTATGCCAAGTAAACTTGCACCAAATTTTACTCATTTATCAGAAACAGATCATTCTAAGTTGAACACAGTGAAGACCCTAAGCTCCCTCCTTCACAAAGGGGAATTATACTCACCACTTGCACAAAATAGGGGTTGGGGCCTTGCTGTTTAATAAACAGAAAAATTTTCAGATTGATTTTGTTTTTATTCCTATTCCAGGGCATAGAGCTGTTTGGAGCAGGAACTGTCTTGACAGAGACCATTTGTAGAAATGAAATCATTTGCTTATTTCCCTTTCACTTATATTTGGAATCTTAACGAATCAGCATGCATTTATTGAAAGTACTTGAGTGACAGTCATTCTTAAATCCTCTTAAATTGTGATGTGAAATAATTTAGGTGAAACTCAATTTACTCACATCCAAAATGTGGGTTCACAGCAAAAAGTATTGGATTAATGAGACAATAAAAACGTGACCAGAACCACCAGTTTAAAGAAAAACTTCTAGGAGTTTGTGCTATGCTTTATGTGATGAAAAGAACCATGGACAAGTAACTGACCTGCGGAAAGCAGCATTAAAGGTATCAACATGTTCACAAAAGCACACATTTGTCTCCAATGTGGTATTTGAATGATGGTCAAACATATAGCCACCCACTGATAAATATACCTAAAATCTAGTCTACCAGTTTGCTTTGTGGTGCACTAAGTTTCCAAATATTAGGACACTTTTTACAGTCCAGAGGCACTGAAGCAAGCTTATTGCTCTAAAGCAAAGGATACACAGCATAAGCACGATCCCTTATTTCCAGATTTTAGCCTGTAGCCCTCACAAATACTTTATCTTTGAATTTCATCGGATAGCTGGGGACTGTAACTCAGGGTGGCACTAAAACACCTATACAGGAGGGAAGGGATGGAAAAGGGATTTTAAAAAAGGAAGAAAAATTTGTTATACACCCGTGGTAGCTTCATACAAGGAATATAACCACTAGGTACTACAAACATGTACTAATTTTAAAAAAAGAGGCTAAGATTTTTAGGAATCTTCGATTAAAATGCACTTTTCCTAGTCTACCCAGAAAACTTACCAATCACAGTAGTAACACCAGCAGAATCTCTCATAACAGCACATGGATAGTGTAGACAACTTTTGGGTTTCTGATGACTCTTTTATGACTTTACCATACTTAGTAACATAAACGATATAAAAAGATTTTAATGAATACTAATATACGGCAAAATGTTTTAATTGTAGGTTACTGTTTTTGGTAACATACGGATTACAGTACTTAACACCATCTATCTGGTATAACACTTGAAAAGAACTATGGGAAGTTATCTTAAATCATTTTAGAAACATCAAGTTCTATTAATGATGACTACTTATACATATATCAAATTTTGACGTTTCCTAATTTCTCTTTGAAATCAACTTTACTAGTAGGAGCAAAAAGCTGATGCCTGCCTACTAGTTCAGAGTGAGGTATTTGTGTATTTGATTTCCTAATTTTCTTCCCTGAGAAACCACTTAAATATTACTTTAAATATAGCCAAGGCACTTTTATTTGGTTCCAACCTTGACAGAAGTCTAAGTTAGATGATCTGTAATTATTTTTGTATTAACTCAAACTGCTCTGCAACATTTCCAAGTAGTTTTTATTCGTATTCATTTCTCCCGTAACTTTCAGTATTATCCAGCTAAATAATGAATGTATATAGAAGACCATAAATTAAGAAAACAAAGCTAATGGTAAATTTTCACCCCAAGAAATGTTCTGAAAAATTGGAACTGTTGTACAACACATAAACATAAGCACTATTGATAGGATGCATATGTATGCATATATATAAAATAGCACTTAATTAGAATATTCTCTGAATAGATGTGATCCCAAACTTAACAGACATGTTCTTTTAGATGTATTTATAGTTCAACTCTTTGAAGTGCCATTAGTTTTAATGCTAACAAGACCAGTTACTATTTGCAGCATTACAAAAAAAAAAAAAAAAAAAATTCAAATCTCTTCTAATTCCTTTAATACTTTGCCTTTATTAAAACATGAATTATAGTGATGGGTATTTACCATTAATTTATAAACAATATTCACCTTATTTTTCAAAAACCTATTTACATAATCCTCTTTGAAAAGATACTAGTGTCTACGATTCAAATCATTCTGGATCAGAAGAAACATAGATGTCAATAAGAACGAGCAAGGAGAAAACAGATTAAAGTAAGATAGTAGTACTAAAGCCATCAGCCCAACTGTGACACAAGGGACAGCAAGAGAGGTGAGATAATGACTAAACAAAGTGTACAGCACTTGATCCAAGAACAGCTAAATAATTCAGCATCGATCATACCAATATGAGAATGCATGTCTGTTTTCTATTTTTTAATCTTTTATGAAGAGCACTCTGTAATGAGTTTAATCTTTACTTTTCACGTTAAATAAAGACCACAGCACTGTATACGTCAGTGATGACCAAGTTATCCAGCACTTTTAATAACAGTCCACTGTGACTTGTATGCCATAGGTTTGCCATCACTGGTATAGGTCAAACCAAACACATACTATAGGTCACTTGTCTTTATTTGTTGGTATGGCTGCAAACTTTCTTAGCCCCTTTAGACATATATGAAAAGGACATCCTGAAGGCAAACCAAGGGACCACAGAATGAGGAAAAAAGCATTAAGGACCGAGAAGTAATGGTGCAAGAAGCCATAAACATTTGGGTGTCAAGACAAATCTTAGATATCTCAAGCTACTGGAAACAATTGTTTTACCAATTCTACCTTGTTTAATGCACTGGTGATATGAGAGCTTCCTACATGGAGATGAGATCATAATTTGGTCAGCACTGTTTGCTTATATTTAAAAGCACATAAAAACAGTATCACTTTCTTTACAATAATTAGAAAAGGCTAATACACAGATATACAGCTCAACTAAACAACACTAAAAATGCTGATTTCCTTTATACCACTGAAACGAAAACAAAGATTATATTTTACTTAAATGATGCTGGAACTCTAGATTGTCAAGTTGTTAAATGTTTAGTGTTAAAAGCTTCAATAGAAAGAAGGGCATTTCTGAGCCGAGCATATAGCACAGTGGCAAAGTGCCTGCCTGGCAAGCATGAGGTGGTGAGTTTGATCTCTCTCTCTCTCTCTCTCTCTCACACACACACACACACACACACACACAGACATGCATTTTTGTGGATAATACGCATGAATTTTTTGGGAGAAATAAGCAGTATTGTTGAGAGGATTACGCACATATATACTTTTTCCAGTTGGTTTATTGCACTTCGTGTACAGTCATTTGCAGTTCTCTGTTTACATGTGACCTGGGAACACCTATTCCAATATACATATACACAATGTCCACAATTTCTAAATGTTTTACACATAGCACTATCATACACCACAGAAGCTTTATTTGGTAATCAAAATTTCTCAATAGCACTGTTTAAAAGATATGTTAATTTTAACCCAGAGCCAAGATCTTCCCACAATGTGGTGATGTCTTGTAAAGAAAGGATAGCAAATAAGTAATGTGAAGTCAATATTGGGTAATGCTGCACCTCTTTCATTTCTACCTATCATGAATTAATGCCTTCTTCTCTCCCAAATCCTGGTAATTAGTGCAGCAGAAAACAGAGAAAGGAGAGTACTGTGTTTAGGTTAACCAGTTTGATTCAGCATTGAGTACCAACTGTGCATGTAATTTTGTTAAGGCTTTTCAAAATGTAACAATTTAGATAATTCTACATTAAAGCAACTACAGACAAAATTACATGTATCATGAGTATTTATAAAATAGTACTGTCCATTAAATGTTAAACTATTATCACTTTAAATAAAGATATTAAAGGATTTATGACAATATAGGAAGTTATTTGAGTCTAAGATGTTTTCTGACAGTAATTGTTGTTAAGCAATGGATTATAATTTGGCAATGTTTCATTCTACCAAAAAATGGGGAACAGTGTAACAAACATTGTTATCAAGGAACATGGAAAACCAAACCACCAACCAAACAAAAAACCCCTGAATCTTAAAAATGTCACACATGAGATGTCAGTGTTGGACTTGACTGAAATGATTCAATTTCGCAAAGAGTAATTTCGTTTAAACCTACCTCTTGCATTTTGTGCATTAAGAAATTAAATCTTTTACATTTATGTAGTACTTAGCCTTAACCAAATATCTATCTTGTGTATGAACACACAATCTTTGTTTTATGGACAGGGTGTTTCCCGTCCCCTCAAGTAGACTAATCATGCATTGAGCTAATGCACCAGGATGTGTGCAGATATTTACTTTTATGCTGTTTTACCCTGACATTTTGCCTAAAGGAAAAATACAAAAACAAAACAAAACACTTAACCAAGTACATTAATTTCACTAACTCTGGACTGAACGCTCAATTTTAAATCACTTTATCAAGTAATAGTATCAAACAATAAACTGATTCCAGAATTTTACCATTCCAGGAATTCAGTGGTTCTACATTTAATACTATCCAACCTGTATAAAAGTAAGGTCTATAATACTATTTCACCTTTTAAACTGTTCTGTACAACATTTCCAACATAAAAGGTGACAATATAATGTAATTATACATAAAGTACTTTTCACTAAAAATGAGATGAGACTGCATTCATAGGCTTTAGAAAACAGTAAACTGCATAGAAATTTTCCAATTTAAGTGACAGTACCATGACAATTTGTGTATTAGCAGTCTGACAGACATCTTTACACTTGCACGGAACACACAAACTTGCTATGGCAAAAGGAATTGTTACAGATAGTAGTATATCAAAGATTTGTCTACCTAACAATATTTACTGCCTGTTTCTATCACAGAAATGATTATATTTGCTTACATGGATCTAATAGGGACCAATGAGGATTAAACCAGTTATTGGTATTCTATGAATTTCATAAATGCACATTCATATATGAAATTGAGAATACTTTGATGGTTTGATTGGTTAGGAGCATATTAGTAGTTATGATTTTACTATATATAACTCCGTGCAGCCCAAACTTATAGAACTCTAAATAAATAAAATTTACAAAAATAAACAAATATTTACAAATGTAAAAATTCATCCTGAGAAATTTTTCCATATGCAGAAGTGTTTCACAAAAAGGCAATTATCAGATTGTGACATAAAAACACACACCAAGAGTTAAACTAATTAAGTCATAATTAGAGGTTCATTTGCAGCCAAGAAAAGCATGAGAATAAGAAATCTTAAAACTGATTTACATGCAAGAAATTAATCACATATAAACCCTTCAAATCTCAGCGTTCTTTTCTCCTAAACTTCTTTTATCAATGTTATAGTCTTGTTTGGGAAATGGGTGAGAGAGAAAAACCACCTGAGAAAAACTCCATAATGCACAGGAGGCTTGAGGAGGAAAGAGCTGGAGGATTGCACTGTGGTCATGCATCACTTACTTTGAAATGTCACGAAAAACGGACCCCGTCTGCCTCTGGCCTTACCTATGTTCAGTTTCTTTAGTAAGAGCGGCTGGCTAAACAAGGTGGACACTTCACAACAGGAAAATGTTAAGCTAAAACAGAAACCTAATACAGGTAAAATGTCACCCCATTTTTGCTTTACAACAGGACCATAAAAACACTTACTTACAGAAATAAACCAAATGGTTCAACAACGAATCAAACTGGTATCTCAGAGTACACATCACAATGAATCTCTTTACTCTATATTGCTGTGAGCAGACAGTGATTACTTTGGAGAAGGAAAAATAAAGTGTGCAATTAGTAAGGCAGATGCTGAAAGGCAAGTGGCATGACTAGAAGAGTGCTTTAAACAAATGCTACTTTGTTCCCATGTCTACTGGCACCTATCCCCCAAGGTAAAAGACTAGAATAACCAAAGCCATTTTAACAGTAGTGTGCAGAACTGTCAGCTGACAAACAACATAAAAACGAGTCACGCTATGTTATCTGTGGTCACGTTCTTCAGGGTTAGTCCAGTAACTCAAGACTTTACATTCTTTTGTCTTTGTTTGTTTATTTTAATTAAACATGTAAAGGTTAATAAACAGACATAGTCCAGAGTTAGTAGGTTGGTATTATAACATTTATTAAAATAATGCTATGGGTTAATAGAAACAGCAAAGAACCAAAGAATTAAAATGCAAGCTATGTAAAATCCCAACTAAAACCCAAAGTGTCTAATGTATTCATTCATTAGCTAACTAAAAGCCCAAAAAAGACAAGACACCCAGTATAATAAAGTACTGCAAAACAATTGGCAATTTTCAGTTATCAAAATTGTGAATTTTGCATTTTGTATCCTTTTCTCAATCAAGAAAAAAATTCTTTTTGAATGTTATATAACATACATATAAAACAAGATAGAAAAATACATTATAAACTTGTAACAATGGCTGTAAATACATTATCTTACATGTTTCTCATAGGCAATAGGTTGGTTATGGTACATACAAAGCATGAAACTACTAAGGTAATAAAGAATAGACAAAAAATACATGTCAGCAGTACAATAACATACAAGCGACACTCCCATCTACCCACACTAAAAAATTACATAATACTGTCAGAAAAAAGTCTTAAAAACTACATACTTTAATAAGAAATAAATTCAATAAAGAATGATAATACTGAGAACCAAGGCATTCAGAGATTTCAAAAGTCATGCTTTTTGTTTTGTTAATCCAAAAAATTGTCAACTAAGTTTTCAAAAGTTTGTTCTGAGCCAACATTACTTATAAATGTCACACACTTATTATTTCATACATTTGCTTTCTTTCCCATAAAAGACCTTTGATAAACATCTAAAATGTCCAGGTATTACACAGTTGAGATGAAACTGGATCAAATACTGGTATTATTTTTAACTATCACCTCAAGTGTTTGAGTGTCGCAAATTTATTCAACCAACCAAACACAATAAAATCAAAATGGCACAGCATATATTGTAAATAAATCAAAAACAATTGTATGTGTAACAGAAAGACAAAGCAGTGGCACATTAAACCAAAGCTAGCTGAGTACAAAAGAATGACTGTCTATTGCATAGTAAATAAACTGAAAACGGTTCCAAGTGAAAAACAAGATAATGGAGAGGTCACCATGAAGATGCAAACTGCGCTTCCTGCTGACCTTTACTGTGAAGCTGCGAAGGTATGGGAGAGGGAACGAGTTGATGAGCTGGAAGTTCACTGCCACTTGAGATTTGCCACGTCTGGTACTGAACAGTTAATGATTATTTCCTCAAGTGTTTAGATGTAGGTTTTGCACAAATATTGTTTCAACTACAAAACTGGCTGACCTTCATGAGAAACTGGAAGCTTAAACTGAAACGTAGTTGAGTGTTTACATACACAATGATGCTAGTTTTTCACATTCTTTTAAAGTTAAAAAAGGGGACAAAAAAGGTGTGTATGGAAGGAGGAACAGTTATTAAAGCCAGCAGAAAGATGAACCACACAGTAGGCTGGTATGATATAAAGAAATTTGATTAAATTTGGGTTACTACAAAATACTGTTTTCCAGAATGAAAATCACAAGCTTTATTTTGTGAAAAAGTCTGCTAGGTATACTATTATCTCCAAATTAAGAAAACAGTCAATGTATCCCCCTTCTCCAAATAGAATAAAGCTCTACTTTGTCTGTAATTTCTGATCTGATGTTCAGATCTTACATAATTTCTATCTCAGAATCCTTTGGGCTAACAATGAAGACTGTAATAACCCAAAGTACTCAATGATGATTTTTAAAAGAATGATGTTTTAAAACTAACTAGTCAGACATTAGAAAAGTTATCAAATTTTTTCACAGTATCAGATTTGGCAAATTTGCATCAAAATAATGTGGCACAAATCATAAAATTAAAACCATCAACTCATTTGGCTCCTCTCCTATCTTCATTCACATACTGGGCGACTGAATAACATGCATTAACTTTTATTCCAAGGGAGGAGCTGATCTTACAAGACACTTGACTAAATGACCATGAAGGAAAATAAGGCACTTTCTTTTCTTTAGACTTATTCCAATACTTAAAAAATAAAAAAGAAAGACAAAAAGGCTCTTTTGGTCTTTTGTTTCTTGACAACCACCAGAAAAAATCATTTAATGAAATAAAGGGTTTCTTTGTTCTTTTTCTTTTTTTATAACACTTGAAAGTATAAAATGCTACATTTCCAAAAATATATATTTTTTTTTCTGCACCAGCACCCTTGTATAGTAAAAGTATCTACTTTTTGTTCATTTGTTTCAATGCACTACACTTTATCTACAATTTCATTACATGTATACAGCAAATAGGCAAGCATGGCTTTTACATCCTTAATGATTTTTTTTTTTTCTATACAGGGAGGTTTAAAAAAAATATTTGAACAGTTTGCCCAGTAATGTGACACATAATGCATGTACCTTGTTCTCATATATTTTTTAAGGAGGTGTAAAATAAAGTTTAAGTAATTTTCACTCAGATATTCATCTTTTTAAAAATAGTGTTGCAGTTTTGTTCTTTGCATTACTTTTCAAAACTCCTTGTTAAGTTTTTCTCTCATGGCACACTTTTCTTCTAATACTTCAAATTTTGGCAGGCAATATAAAAAAGGCTGCAACTTTTGCCCTTTGAGGGCACTGTAGTGACTAAACAGCATATCAAATTTTGAATACTTTTTGAAATCACTTCACCATGACATCCCTGACCAAAGGTTCATGCATGATGCATCATCACACAGTACATTCAGAGAGCTTTGACTTCACTATAAGAAGAAAAAGATTCCTAGAAGTCTCTCACAGTAACTGCCTCTGTCATCAAGTAGTTGAGGGCTATGTCTCCCTTCTTAAAGAGAGGCCTTCTTACCGTTCGCTTAGGGTGGGATACTGAGAGATGATCAGTGCTGTGGGATGAGTTGGGCCTTATTGCTTTACTACTATTCAGTGCAGGTGCTAGAACCACTTTCACCCAAATGGGGGGGGGGGGCCGAGTTGGAGAACAACAATTTCTTTGTCTTTTGTTTGGTTAGATGGTAAGACGAACGGACAAGTGCCTCAGCTCGCTGCACTGACGACAGGCAAGCAAAGGCGATTACCAGTTAACTGATCAGCAGGCAGGCATGGTCAGGTCATCATTGGGTGAAGAGTTCAGAGGTCAGAAGGTCATAGGTTAGTTGCCGGTGGCGGCTGGGTGGTTAGAAACAAAAAACAAAACAAAAAAAAGAAAAGAAAAGATAGAGAAGAGATTAGTTTCAGCTAGTGACGGCTTAATGACAACATGAAAAACTAATCACAACTAATAAAAAAAGCATGTTTAATTCTGACAAACTGATTGACACCATCTACAGAATACAATTAAAATCATGACAATTTCATATCATGATTTGAACAAATGAAGAAGAGCCCACTCCCACAAAAAAATAAAAAAATAAAAAAAACTGGTTAACGGGGAAAAAAATAGAAATAAAATACAACTAACAACTAATAGTTAGTAGCAGTCAATGAAGGAAATTGGAAAACAATGAATAGATTTCATATACAGAATTTTGAACAGTCAGTGCAGTTATCAGTATCTGACTGCTATTAAGCATTAGTATTCTCTCAGATGCAAGCATTAAAGCAGCTATTAATGATGATGTGATTATTAATAACTGATGATTAACAGAAATGGAATCTAAAGAAATTTGAATTTCTATGAACAATTTGGTTTGACATAAACTCTGGGCCAAAGTTTCTTTTGTTCAATAAATGTTTATTGCTTTTTCAATTATTCTATTTACAAACAACACAGAGTTTCTTGGCCTCATGATACAAAGCAATACTGTAGTCTAGCAGTGTAGGCAACATCATGGGAACTAGAAAAAGGCCAGGGCTTTTTGCACTGACCAACACTTTCCAGTTGAAAATACTATTTTACACATATAGAACACTTATAAAATGTACTTGCATGTAAACACTGTAAAATCCTGCCATTTAAAATTCTATACCTCAAAAGAGCTCTAAGTACATCAAAAAATAGAAGAAATTTCTAATTGATACCAAAAGGCATTTTAAAACTACAAACAGCTTTCTTTATTCAATTTCAAAGCTAATACTCTGCAAATACAATATAATCTGACATTTCATATACATTCCTGCTTTATATTTTATAGTTTAAAAGAAGCCACCTGTAAAATACTATTTTCTTTTGCAAAATAACAAAAAAAAACTTTTAAAAATTACAGTAAAACATAAAGTAGTTCTCAAGTGGAAAAGTTATCATTTCCAACGTCCTTGACTTGTTCGTTCCTTAATCAACCCTTGTCACACTCTGCTTCACCAAACTTGGTCCACTTAACAGTAGTATAATTTTTAAGACTCATTCAACAGCTTTAATAATTTCTACTATATTCTGAGGTTTGATAGAATTTTCTGTACTGTTGCCATTGTGACTAAGGCAGAGGAGATGTGAATGAAAAGATATTCAGTGCAAAGTCAGATTCTGTGCCATTTCATAAGTCAAAACTCAGTAGGTGTAAAGTTCAGAGTTTAAATGATCTACCTGATGGCCTGATTTATTATCTTCATCTGATGAAAATGTTCTCTACAGTCTATTACTTAGGATAGTGTATAAATACCACAAATATACTGTATCTTCAATGTGCTCAAATCTTCCCTGAATTTCTTAAAACAAAGTAGAACTTTATTTAAATGAAAAATGCTGTTCCAAAAGGAGAAAATAAATATTTACCATGATATAGCCATACTACTTCTTCACAGGTGTTCCAAAATATGGGTTATTAAAGCATTTTTAATATTAAAATTTTGATTAAAATTGTTCAAGTCTCCTTGTACAAATTATCTGTCAGAGATTTTGTAAAATCATTAGCCCAAAAAATTATGTTTCATTGAGTGTGGAATATATAAACAAAACAAACTACCATTTATATATACCAGTATACCTAGAATATATCCTCTGCCAAGTCAAGGCCACCTACAGTACACACAGGTATGGCAACTGTGAAAAACCATTTGCAGTTCATTGCAACTATAGGGTCGATTGGCCTTTTATAAGCTTCAAATCCAGTTTCAAAATGTTTAGAGATGGGTTTAGGTAAAGAACTATGTATTTGTCAACCATGTAGTACTCTAAATGATCACATAGAATTACATGGTTATATGTCCAAGGGCTTTCTCCTTGCATCAACTGAATGTAATAATTTTTTCTTTAAAAGATCTTTAAAAATAAACAGAAACCTCAAAAATAGAGAAAACAGTAGTATTATAAAATAATTTAAATGAAAGGACTTAGACATCTCCCTTAGACCCAATGAGTGCATATGGTGATAGTAACAAGTATATGATTACTTAAAAAAAAAATTCGGTTTGCTGACATTGCACTATGAATAAAAACAGTGATAGAACTAATCCAAACACATGTAACTACAAAAATGCCATGCATGGAATGTACTGACATTTTCCAAATGCAATAAAATCTTCCTCTAATATTTTCAACTCTCTGAAGGCACTAGGGCATTAAGTAAGTCAATAATAACTGTTGAAATTATGAGAAATCTCCTGAAGAGGATGGATACAGGGAAAGGAAATTTATCAGAAACAAAACTACTTTCAAATATTTTTTAGACATTACAAGTATGAATAAACTTCAAATTATTCATGAGATTGTTCATGGGACCCCATTTCTGTAAACTCAAAGTGACTTCCCCCCAAAGTGACTACCCCCCTTCCCTGATCCAGGAAGGGAGGTACCTATGCTGGAGTATGGTACACCTGCAAGAACAACTATAATTACAGATAATCGCTGAGCTTGGGATTGATTCTGTTCATGCAATAGTCACTACAAATTATGTATGTAGCAGTTAAAAATCTGCAAGGCTCTTTTCTCAGGTAAGATGCTAGGTAAATCTTACTAATGCCTTTGAAAAGGCATTACATTTCTAAATGTGGACAACAGATGTGGTCAGGATTTATCAAGAGTATTCAAGGAACTATCTGAACCAGGTATGTCTCATAAATTCATAGAAAATGTAAAAATACAAAGTATATCACATTTTTCTGTACTAAAATTTAGTGTCTTTGGCAAATTTAATTACTAGGTAATAAATGTGCCATGATAGATTTTTAAAAATCCTTTGCTACCATGCTGGAGATCCCTGTGGTTTAAAAACTTAGAAAATAATTCAATGTCAATAAACTGAAAATACCTCCTCTTTAAAGTATAAATAATTTATAAAAGGGTCCAAGGGCATATACAGGACACAAATTACAAATATTGAAAAGGAGAAAAATGAAGACTTATTTTCCAGTCACAGGTTAGTCAAAAAGGATATCCAAAACAACTGGATCTCATATACCACAGAACTTCAGGAGATAATATACCTTCAAATAATGTATTTTAGCAGCAAATAATAAAACTCAAAGGGATTCATTTTGGCAAGATAATAAAAGAATAAGAGGGAGCTGATCTTCTAATTGATTTAAAAAAACCCACTACATGAATAATATCTTCACAGTCCTGACTTTGTTGATTTCAGCTAAGTACTTGACATATACACCCTCATGCTTATACAGTGGCTCAACTGTTTTATAATAAAGAAAAAAATGGAAACTAAATCTTCAATTTTCTCCGAAAAGTACACAGGAGGCATATATTCCTTTACTCCTCTCATTAAAGCACCGTCCATTCAATTCATTTTGCCATACCAACCAAAAATTTTAGAACAATAAAAGGAAAGTTTTAGCAAAAGTTATTACTAAAAAATAGTTAAGGCAACATAAAAAATTTAATAGCTCCCCAAAACAACTAGTTTATGTTTTAGTAGGAATAAATCATAGTACATAATAATAGAAAATTTAATAAGTTAAAATATGAAGGGAGGAAAAACCAAAACAACAAAACAAAACAAAACAAAACAAAACAAAACAAAAAACAATGACAAAAAACCCCCAACCCTTAAACCTGTCAATCATTACAAATGAGTTTAGAAAAGGAAAGGAAACAGTATGTAGGTAAGCAGTTACATTTTTGATCAGGTGTGGTGTTCTATGGACACCCAATGTATTTCTTATAAACAAGAACTGCAGAACTAAACTAACCTCGGTCTGCGGTCACAATCCTTTGGTAAGGATGGACACGCATATCGTGCCTTCGAACTTTAGTAGCCACCGCACCTAGTTAAATTGCAATTACCAAGACAAAGTTAGAAAACATACATAAGGAGGGGAAAACATTAACAGCAGGTTTATCAAAATGGATTTCAAATATTCATTTACTACAAAAGTTTAAGAAACATGTTAAGGCACAGTAGTTTTAAAATTAATTGTAATATGTCACATATATGCATCTATTAATATTGCATTCATTTCAAACACGTTGGCCTTAACCTATCTTATTCATTCATTTACAGTCCTCAAGTTACAGTATTTCATGAACTCTATTAGATGCAAACATATTTGAGCTTTACTAGTCACATATTCACTGAAGTGCCTTTCTTCCAGCAGAACTAAATAATGCCATATTTAATACTGACAATTATTTACTAACCTTAAGACCACTTCCAGAGTTGGTTACTTTAAAAAGGTTTGAAAGCAATTCTTAAAGCCTACAGACTGTGGTTTTAAACTCTGAGTCAATAAGTATGAACTGCAATGAATTAGGTGATTAGTAAAGCAAACAGTATAGTACACTTAGCAGTCAGTACACTACTATACACTCCTTTATAAATTACCATTACTTTGTGATATTACAGATGAAACCAAATTAATAACATGATTTTACTTTATATCTATGTGCAAAAAGTGCAAGTAAGCCACTGACTGCTAGGCTAAGCTTTTTCCCCGGAGGCTGCTGAGACTAAGCATTTGTTAAATTCAGATCTGATGAGAGTTCAGTTAAGACCGATCTTGAATTCTTAGCCTTTCGTTGGGAAAGCCATACCTAAAGATAAAAGGAAGGGAATTAAAAATTAGTCATCAATGAAGATCTGATGCTAATACCAATCTCCTCACTACCACCAACACACATGTCTGCATCTGTTTTGAAGGGCAATGCTTATTTTAAAATAATTTAATGTGAGACTTTATATATAGCATGCATGTTATCTGTGTGCAAATTTATTGTAATTCGGCAATTTTAAGTAATTTCCTCAGTTCTCCAAGGGGTAAATATCATGTTTTACTGCTTAGGTAGCAAAATAAAAAATAACATTCAACATAATAGATAATTCTTTTTCATTTAGGACTCATTATTAATCACCTTATGCATGTTAATTAGGTGTTTGTATATTTTGCTCTTAATTTTGCCAGTCTAATAATAATTAAGATTTCATAATTAAAAATTTCCCCAAACAAAAGACATGTTACTTCACAGTAAGAAATGAATTGCTTAGCAATGTTTCTCATTTTTTCTATGCAGTAAACTGGTCCATCACCCCTTTTTCATTTTAGATAACTAATTATACACAAGTCAAATTAACATGGCAAAACCAGGGAGATCTTGCACTGAAAGTCCTGGATGACAGCTGGTGGTTAAGAGCCCCAGCCCAGTAGGAAGTCAAAAGTCCTAACTCCTCGGGAACAGATGCTGTGGGTGCAGCAGAGAGGAGTTCTGGGGGAGAAGGGAAGAAGGAGCATGCATGGGCCATAGGACAGAGTATTAATAGAAAGGAAAACTTAAATAAGGTTATAGGTTACATGTTATTTTAAAAACGCTTCGAGAAATGTGCAACAGAGACAAGCCTCTCATCAACAGCTCTGTGGTACGGCTGACCTATATTACTATGTACAATGACTTAGACATAAAGCATATACAACAAAATGTATTTGTTCATAAAACAAAAGGCACCTGAGTGCATGCACACACACAGATAACATACAGAGTGCTGTGGCTTTAATTGAACAATGAATTTTCAAGTTTAAATCTTAAATTCAGTTCATTAAATATTTTCAACTTTTATAAATCAGTTATTAATGGCTAGGGAGGGAAAAAACTTTAAAAGATCCAAGTTCTAAAAGTCAACAGCATGCATGCAGCACCAAGGTCATATACAATTCAGGAAAAAAAGTATTCAATTCTGTCTGGTAAAACAAAGGGGTTGCACGGAAACAGTTTGTTCCACATTGACTGGTCGTGTTATAACAGCTGCTGTATTCTAGTCCTTCATCCAGCAAGTCAATGGGCTGAAATATCAGGCATGACTGGCATTTCAATCCACTCTATAAAAAAAAGGCATCAATAATGTCTTTTTCGAGCACACATTTTTTTGTTCATGTAAAACTAAGCGTTTATAGTATGAACTTAATTTCAGCTTTCAGTGTGACTCTGAAATCAGTAACTTAGTATTTACTTATCCATGCCACACTGTACTACTGGAATTAGAGAATTATTTCTCAAGTTTAATGATAACTAGAAATTCAAAAAACAAAAACTGAAAATCCTAAAGGATGTAACTATGAATCTGGCCCTATTTTAAGTGATCACAAACATTTAAAAACACAATTAATACACATTTTATAAAATTCTGAAAATATTTTCACACAGAAGTTAAAAAAATTTTAGCTGCCAAGTAAATGAGTGAGACAAAAATACAACTTTGGGAAGTGGAGCTTCCCAAAAGCAATAGGGCAGTGGGGTTGGGACCTAAAATAAAAGTCAACAACAACTTCAGTAATGTCAAACACTGAAAAGTATTTCCTTTTCAAAATTCACATAGAAACTATCACAACCAAGTGAATCTAAATAAAACTAAGGAGCAGTTATTTAACAAGGGAACTGTTAAACTGAAATAATCTTTTTAGTCTTTCCTAACGGAAATTTATTTTGCCTCCCTAAAATTGATAAAAATCATTTCAAGGCCTAAGGCAGCAAATTCATGAAGAATGTCATTAACCACTGAAGGAAAAGAACTTACCTAATACACCACTGGGTTCAATAGGGTACTCAAGAATCGATGTAGCTGGTGCCAACGTGTACGGGTATTCATAGGGTGTGTAGATTAACCCAGCCTCAGGCCCTGGAGGGACTATTGCAGCAGTGGGGTGAGGAGTTCCGTTTGGCATGACAGCGGTCTGTATTTGTCTGATCAAAGGCATTATGGTAGGACCAGCTGGCGTAGGAGTACGAAGGGCAGCTGGAGGAAGAACAGGCGCAGGCCCAGTAATGATCCTTGGAGCAGCTTGGGCTGTTGCTGCAAGAGAAAAGGCAAGGGCTGCTACAGTAAGCAAAGAAATTTAGAAAGAAGTACAGGGACAGCAGTATAAAATATGGGAAAATGAGAGAGGAATAGAAAAAAGAAAAGAAAAGCAAGAAAGAAGAAAAATAAAAGGAAATCATTAGTACATGCACTGATCACACAAAAATGTCAAAGCATACCAATCAAATGCAATCAGCTTTTCCCCCTTCCCAATGTGATTAAAATGTACAAAAATTCAAAAGCCATTGTAAAACAAACAAACAAACACACACACATACCCCCTCACTGAGACTGTTAAAATGTTGTATTTGTTTGTGTGTTTGGAATTTGTCTTTAAGGTTTCATGAGAAAAAGGTGCACACAGACACACAAGAATGACACTTGCATTAAAGGATGTTACCAAAAAAAATGCGTAACTGGAGTCCACAGAAACACAGTTTTGGTATATTTTCAAAGTGAAACTTCAGCTTCAAATTAAAGAGTAATTTTCATTATATTAAGTCAGGGAAGTAACCATTAGGTATATATATATGAATTACCCAAATCTTAAGAATACAGAGTCCTCTTTCTAAATTTATAACTCAAAATGATATACTCACATTCTGAACTACTTGTAAAGCAATTTCTTTCACCAACTGGGTTGTCTACATTTTGAAAGTTGGCTGAAATTTTAAAATTGTATTGTTTCTGAATTAGTAATTTAAATATGCTACCATGTTCATAACAATGGTGTGTGTAAACCTTAAGTTGTCTCAAAATATAAATTTCATATCACTGCAATAATATGAAAAATCATTTGTAATTTATAAAATCATTCCCATATCCCTAAAAAAAAAAAGATTGCAAATAGTTACTACCCACTGATCTCTGTGAACTCATGTATGAACTCAATAGAGAAAAATACTGGAAGGGAAACATGCAAGCAAAAAAAGAATTCAATAGAAGGATCATTTCATCCACGTATAAAACTTTTTTTAAAAAGCTTTCACAATTTTTTCTTTTGGATAAATATAACATCAGCTGGAAGCCTTAAATTCTTGAAATTCTTAGATCTGAAGGATAAAATTTCATCTGAAGCATAGGATCTTAACATTAATACCAAGAGAGTTGTAATTAATGAAAGCATCAAAAATAGGGCCATTGGTCCCATAGTAAATGACACATTTACTTCAACTCTTCATATCAGCTCTAATTATTCATATATTCTGATGCCAAAAGGAGAGAGGCTAGTTGACAAAAACAGCTTAGAGAGCACCACCCTCAGGTCAGTTCTCATTCTTACGTGATTTAATGTTGGCATCTCGGTAGGTGCCATTCAAAATTGCGAGCTCCATCAGCTGCATCTTCTTCAAGCTGTCTTCTCCTTCTGCCTACACATGGAAAACACAAAAGCATTATAAGCGTTTCAGATTGTTCATATATCTGAGAGTTAGATCTATATACAAACCTTAAATAAATACCATATGACTACAACCACCTGTTTCCTTCAGAAAAATACAAAAAGATGAGGAAAGATGATGACATACTGAAGTCTGTTTTTTCAGTGATGGTGTACCAGAATACAAAATATACTTTAAATGACCTCTGGTTATATTTCTATTTGATAAAAAGGTTTTAATATATGCTATACTAATTTAAAGTTCTCCTAAAAAAGTTTTGTACTTTTTTTGCTTAATATCCCCAAACTCAGATGTGTTCATTACGAGAAATACACATACGGCTTTTAAATATACAAGATTTTTATTGTGGTATTCAGCTAAAAGAATATTGCTAATTCTACAAAAGGAAACTTTAGATTAACTGCAATTTAAAAATTCTAAAATTATATATACTACTCTTTATGCCTCCATCTTTCACCTATCAATCTAATTAGGCAAGTGCTATTAATTCAATAAGGGACACCATATGATACACTATGCAAATCAAGAAACACAAGTGAAAAGGGGCACTAAGGGGCTGGGGATTTAGCTCAGCGGCATAAGTGCCTGCCTTGCAAGCAGGCAGTCGTGAGTTCGATCCCCAGTACCGGAAAAAACGAAAGACAAAAAAGGGAGGGGGGGCACTAATGATATCTATGTTACAAAGGAAGACAAGAGCTATAATCATCTCTGATTGTCAGAATGTCTGGTCACACCCATTTAGCTTGCATTACTCTAACCCTCTACCAGAGATCACGAACTTATTCTCATCACTAGATACAGTACCCAAACTACTGAACCATTATGTTAATGGTGACTATACATAATCTATGTACTCAATGTATATCTAAGGGTCAGATTTGCTATCTGTAACACAATTCTTACCTTAAGGTTTTCAAAATTCTCATGTCTTAAACCCTCTCAACATTGTTACTAAGAATATAAAATATCTAAACTACCTATCATCTGAGCCTAAACAATCACCTTAAATCAAACTAACTAATTTTTCACTATTTTGCATAAATTCCTACCCTTAAAAGTGAAGTAAAATTGTTGTTACTTTTCTCTGTGCATCTCACTTCTTCCACTGCCAATGCTCCTTTGCTGGTCAGTCAACCTACCCACTCCTCTTTCCAAATCCTACCTCTCCCACAAATTTCAAAATGTTACCTTTGTATAATTTCTTTCTTGAATTACAGTTTGTTGAATATCATCATTCCAAAAGTGAATTCCAAGAGGACAAAGCCTATCTCTTGCTTATCATTGCTTAACCCCCCTTAGCCCCTTCCCCAATTGTTTGTCAACAGTTACTTTTTATGTGATTGGCATGAGGCATCTTTAGCTTTGTTTCCAAATCCCAATGTCTCTATTCTATAGAATAAGGTTTGATTAGCCACAGCAAAAGGAAGCATCAGATGCAAGTGCATTTATGAAGTCAATCTGAAGATGGCTGCAGTGTTGGAACTAGTATTCCCACTTTTTAATGCATTACCCCGTCATCAAGATATAATATTTAAAAAGAAAAATGATCCAATGACAAACACACTGATATAATACCATTTCTCTGATTCAGAAAGAGGGCAGAACTAGAACAAGTGCAACTGTCACAGTGCAAAGATATTAGGCATCTTAGCAGTAAATGGTGTGCTATAATATGTAGTAAACAGAACTGTGAGGTGAACTTAATAAATCACAGAGAATTAAAGAAAAATAAGCAAAACCATTAAGATTAACATTCAATACACAACTAATGACTTTTAAAAAACCCTACTCTACAACAGAATACAGAAAAAAGACACAAGAATTGTTATGCGATTGCTATTCCTTGACTCTCATCAACTTGTACAAAGGTCGATTAAAAAAAACAAGATTTCTTTGAGAAACAAAGAAATTACTGTTTAAAAATAAGCAAATCATTACTGGGAAAGAATAATTCAAAATCCGTTTTGAAAAAACTTTTAAAACATGTTTAGTAAAACTATTAATATTAACAATTAAAATTAAATGGTTCAGAATTAAATACCAAAAGTATTACATATTATATACACTATATATTTTATAAAGGAAATAGGTATACCACTGTCAAGCTTGACAACGTCAGAAAAAAATTCATTGCAAACAGAAATAATGATGACAAGAAAAAAGTCTTTCATGGAGAAAATAGGCAACTGAAAACATGCTTGAATTGAGCTGTTTCTTCTGGATATCAAGCACTCATTAGGTGATGATACACTGTCAACCATGGAAGAAAACCAAACAGAAAGGTGATGGAAAAATGGATGTGTGCCTGCCAGTTTGTGCACATACACACATCATTTGCAGGATGTGGGATACTGAAAACAGAGCAGAGATTATCAAAAGAGGAGAAAATAAAAATCAGAGTAGCAAAGTCTTCCTTCAAAGTGCTAGAGCTACCCACCACAATGAAGTCATTGGCTGGAGCTAACAGTAGGTTATGTATGCTGGTCCTAGGCACATTACAATAAGGTAAATTAATGCCTCCCCAGAAAAGCAGAAGGTTTAGGTAGCAGCACTGAAATTTCAGCCCAGACAGTCTTGCTGCAGATGAGCTTCACCCGCTTCTACTTACCCACTTCTATTACACTTATTTATAGAGCATGATCCTGTGTGTCTCATGAAAAACGAAGTTCATTACAGAGTGATTTTCACATGGAAGAAATTATTTCAACTTGTTGTCTTTGGGTAGAAATTTGGGATAGGAACCTCCATATATTTTTCAAATTTAACCTTGCTAATAAAAATTCTTTGTCTCTTGTCCTTTTGAGTGTGTGGGGTACTTGAGATTGATCCCAGTATGTTTTATGTGTTAGGGTAAGCAGTGGGTAGTACTTGAGACTGAGCTCAGTACCTTGTAGATGCTAGGTAACTACTCTGCCACTAGGCTGTACACTTGGCCATTTATTTTGTATTTCAATTTTGGACAGTCTCATAAAGTTGCACAGTGTGGCCTCTAACTTTTTTCTATAATAAAGTGTCTATGGAGCTTTTGCTAGTCATTACAGACTGTGCTTTTGTTTTGTTGTGGAGGCAGGGTATTGCTATGTAGTTTAGGCTTGTCTTAAAACTCCTATGTATGTCTAGCCTTTCATCAAACTTGCTGCAATCCTCCTGCCTCAGTATCCCAAGTGCCAGGACTGTAAGCTTGGTAATTAGACTTCTTTCAAAGATAACAACTGATCAAATACGTCATTCTGAAGTTGCATGTCTTAATTCGAGGTATTTCACAAAGTATCTTTTAGAATCTTGATCAGAGACCAGAATAAGGCCATTAAAACTGTATTTTACAATGCTGAATTCAAGGGATTATCTGTAATTTCAGAAGTTCTCATTTCTTAAATATCTTTCCTGTTTTAAGTTCTTTAGAAAATCAAGGTATTAATTTCAATGCAGTGAAATCCCAAGATCTGAAGTGTAACATTTGATCAACTGATGAATGTACCTCAAGATAAAGAATATTTACTCCAAGTCAGTATGTGTTTGGAACACCAATCATCTGATTCTTGGCACACCAAATTCGATTACCTATTCTAGAATTTCATGGAATGGAATCATACATAATTTTTTTGTATCTAGTTACTTTTCCTCAGCACAGTATTGCCGACACTCATGCATGCTGTTGCATATATCAATAATTCTCTGTTTTAACAAATGGCTGAGTAGCAGTTTATCCATCCATTATTCTGCTGCAGACATTTGGTTGTTTCATTTTTGAATGTATTGAATACAGCGCAGCCACAGTAAAAATTCTCACATATGGCTTTTTGTGAATATTGTAGTTTCCACTTATCTTAAGAAATACTAGCGGTAGAGTTGCTAGGTCATACATAAGCAAACATATGAAATATTATGTAAAGGTTACTGAAACACTATGAAAAGTACCTTTACTTTTGACATGAAATTTAAGAATGTAGCAAACACTTCCAAATAGCTAAATCCTGTGATATCAGAAGTGTCCTGGAAGTCAAGAATTTTTCAGATTTGCAGAAAGATAATGAACCACAGGTTATAAGATGTCCCCAACAGGGTCCAGGGCAGTGGTGGCGGTGAACCTATGCTATGGCATGCATACCATAGCAGGCTATTTGTTGTCACTGAAAGCTCTAGTTCACCATCACTGATCTAGGGAAACAGCAGAGAGAATCTAATCTGTAGCAGACAGAAAAATACAGTAAGTGAGATAAAGACAAGTTGTAAGCATACCTTTCTTAATTCTAGGAATTTCTAGGTATGGATAAAAGATTTGTGGATGTACAGATATAATTATACTTAAATTTTCACATATAATATAGTAAGATATAGGTATGAAAACTATGTTTAAGAGCTACATTCAAGTTAAAGATAGGTCATGTTTAATAGGAGAGATGATGTGGGCAGCAGTTTTAAAACTTTAAAGTAGAATAATTTATAAGCTATTCTACTTTATTAGAACCAGACATTAGATCATCATTTAAGCATTTATGTTCCATAACAAAATTAATTTATTGATACTATATTATTCCTGAGACTTGGATAGCTAAGCTTATCCAAAGTTATACAACATCACACTGCAAAACTAGCTTCTACTAGGGGTAGGTGGTTCAAACTCCAGGTTTAAGCATTTTATTTTATCTTCTCCAAGGCTGTGATGCCATCAAGTGAAAGTATCTTTTGAATTCATCAAAAAGACTTCACGTTACAAATGAAGAAAACCACATTTACCTATTAATTTTAAATCTAGAAAGTAACACTAAAAGCCCTACAAAAATATAATTACTATAGAGCTGAAACAAATGGGTGAATTCTCCACATCATTAGAATTATATCAACTGAAAAAAATTGAATCATTGCCTATAAGAAAAATCCTGAACCTCCAGCTTAGCATTCAAGAAACTGAACATCTATATAAACAGCCATATTTACAACATTTTGTTCATGGCCCCTTAGCATAAACC